GTGCTTTTCATCTAATGGTATATTCTATTTCTTTTAGTGTTTACTTTTGAAATTTTACCATACTTACTTAATAAAGTCTAAAATTAATATCTCACACTCCTCTTGAATCATGCAAAGACCAAAGAACACTTGAGTTCTTACTGTTGGAATCCTGACATACAGTATGTAGTCTTGTCTAGTGTTCTAATTCTATCCTTTTGTTAGCCCCACTAATTATACATATTCAAAACTATTATTTTTATATAGATATTTGCTTACAATTACCTACACGCAGGGCTGGCTACATAATTTTCAGGACCCAGTACAAAATGAAAATGTGGGGCTCTTGTTCAAAAAGCTACAAAGATGCTTTGTCCCTGCCTTCACAGTCTCTCTTTCAATCTGACATGGTGTTTTCTTGATGACTATTGAATGTTGTGCTCCCATGGTCATGGGGAAATCGTGGAGTGGATGCAGGCTTTCATAAGCACCCTGTGCCCAGGGTGGCCAACCCCCACTCTCCCCATACCAGTGCCTCAGCCTGGGCCCACACTCAAAGCAGAGGAAGGCAGCAGATTCTGGGCAAAGGCTGAGGAGCAGGGGCTGGAGAACCATCCCAGAGAGGCAGGGAGGTGGCAGGAGGTAGAACTATATGTGAGCCAAAGCTCCATGACCTTGGTACATGCTCAGTTGTCCCATCAGACCTCACATAAAACACAAATTTAAAGATAAAATTATTAAGAATTTCTTGAGAGTGACCATAAAGCATTAAACCGAAGCACAGGACCCCCTTCTGAAATTGGGCCCTGTACAACCGTCTTGATCACGTGCCCAAGAAGTCTTCCTTGCATCTGAGTTTGCCAGTTTCTTTGCTTACCATCTCTTCTTGCATACCTCACCTTCCTTCTGAGATCTTATCTCTTCCTGTAAAGCATATTCTTTAGAAGGTTCTTTAGTTAAAGGTCCTTTAGCTGGTAGTAAACCCTCCAATTTTGTCTGAGCATATTTTATTTCAGTCTCATTCTGAAAGATAGCTTTGCTGGGTACCCAACTTTAGTTGGTGGTTCTTTTCTCTTAAGATTTTGAACATATTATTTTGCTGTCTGACTTCCTTTGTTTGTGTTGGAGAATGGGCTCCTTTGAAGATAATGGATTTTTTTTCTCTTGCTTCTTTTAAGATCTCTTTAACTTTGATGTTCTTCAAGTGCACTACCAGATGCCCAGATGGGAGATTTATTTTTATTTATCTTGCTTGGAATCCATTGAGTTTCCTAGATTTGTGTGTTAGTGTTTTTCATCAATCTGGAATATTCCCCTCAAAAATTGCTTCTTCCCCCTTTTCTCTCTTTCTGAATAATGAATAGATATATATTAGATCTTTCACTCTATCCACCATATATCAACTTCTCTTTTATATTTTCCACTTCCTGTACTGCACTCTATATAATTTCTTTAAATCTCCCTTTTAGTGTATTACTTCATTTTTTTAGCTGTGAATAATCTGCTACAGGACCATGCACTGTTTTTCATTTTGATTATTATATTTTTAATTTCTTCAAGTTGGATTGGGTTCTTTTTCATATTTCATTAGTCATTTAAATCAATCCTTTATTTCTTTGAACATCTGATTTTATATTCTGTATCTGAAAATTCAAAACTTTAGAAAGTAGGAGTTTAATTATGCTGTCATTATGTCTTACTCTTTCTCTTACTGGCTTTTTTTTTTCTTTTACAGTTTTGTGATTTTTTTAAAAAAAATTATGATCTCATAGATTTTGACTCTTTATCTGTAGAAAATCTTTGAGTCCCAGATTGAAGATAGATTGCTCCTGAAAATATCAGTGTTTTTCCTACCTGTTTTTCCTACCAGGCATCTGGAGGCAAAGTTAACCTATTACCACTATAAAATATCTTTTCAACGTGAAGCTCTTTGAGCCACTCAGGTAGTATGAATTCACAATACAAACCTGCATTAGGGTTAGTTTGTGTTTACAGATTCTTGTGAGAGATATGTATCTTTCCCTCTACCTAGCACCCATATTCAAAACCAGTAATTTTCCTTTTGTACCTTGAGAGATGTTATTTGAATTTTACACATGCTAGGTGTGAATTTCACACATATGTTACACATGCAGCTCTTTGAGATGCAGCTTTATGCAGGTGAGTTTACTGGTAGACTCTTCTCTCTTGAGCCCTTCATGGCTGTGAAATTTAAAGCTCAAGTTCATCAGATTTGGAAAGTACCTTCAAGGTGAGAGTTACTTTCAATGCTCTACTTATAGTTGGGGGTTCTTCCTTTTGCTTCACTTTTTTAAGGTTTAGTTTGGAATAGTTTTATATTTATATAAAAGTTACAAAGACAGGGGCGCCTGGGTGGCGCAGTCGGTTAAGCGTCCGACTTCAGCCAGGTCATGATCTCGCGGTCCGTGAGTTCGAGCCCCGCGTCAGGCTCTGGGCTGATGGCTCGGAGCCTGGAGCCTGTTTCCGATTCTGTATCTCCCTCTCTCTCTGCCCCTCCCCCGTTCATGCTCTGTCTCTCTCTGTCCCAAAAATAAATAAACGTTGAAAAAAAAAAAAAAAAGTTACAAAGACAGTACAGAGAGGGTTTATGTTTCTCCTTGGCCCATTTTTTATAACCATGACACATCTGTAAAAACTAAGAAACTAACATTGGTGTAATACATTTAGCTAATTGTTGATAATTAACTAAACTACAGTTTATTCATATTTCAATAGGTTTCTACTCATATCCTTCTGTTCTTTCACTTGAGTTTTGTTCTCCGCATCCTTCCCACATTTTGTCCGGCTCACTGATGAATTTAAAGATTTTTTCAGAAGTTAAAAAATGTTTAATTGGGCGCCTGGGTGGCTCAGTCGGTTAAGCATCTGACTTCAGCTCAGGTCATGATCTCACAGTTGTGAGTTTGAGTCCTGCATCGGGTGAGCTTGGGCCCTGCTTCAGGTGAACACAAGCCCCACTTTGGGTGAGCACGAGCCCTGTTTCAGGAAAAAAAAAAACCATGAGCCCCATTTTGGGTGAACCCCGCTTCTCTCTCTCTCTCTCTCCCCCCTGCTTTCCATGCCCCTTGTGGGAGTCTCCCTCTGCCTCTCATGGGATTCTCTCTCTGCCCCCTCACCCACTTGTGCCCCCCACCTCAAAAAATGTTTACTTATTTTAAGTAGGAAGGTTGTCAAGGTACCTAGTCCAACATACTTCTGGAAAGAGAAGTCTGGGAGCTTTTTTTTTTTTTTTCAATCTGCTTCCCTTAAATGATACTCATTATCCTGGTTACCAAGTCAAACATGTCTTCTTATGCTTGTGTCCTTAAAATTTTCTAGCCTAGAAATGTAGGCACTATTTTTATTATGGTAAAAAACATGTGATAATATTGTAAGAGTGAGACTAGAAAAGAAAACAAGACATAGATTGAAGGTCTGTAATAATACTATAGGTGAGAGATAAAGTCAAGAACCTTAACAAGGCAGTTGTTGGTGGGAAAGAAAGAGAGGAAATAGTTTGAGGTGCACTCAGGAAGTAAAATATAGAATTTGGTCTTGAATGGATGTAGTAGAACATGGAGAAGCAAGAGTCAGAGAGAACTCAGAGATTTCAAACCAAAGATTTGGACTCCTGAAGATTTTCAGAAGTCAAAAAGAAAAGCAAGATTGTAGCAGGTGATGGTGAATTTGTTTTTTGATGTATCTGGTTGTTAATGGATCATTAGTGTGGCGATGTCCAACCGGTAGTAATAAATGAAAGTCACAGTTTTGAGAAAGGAGTCAGAACTAAAAGGAACAGGGTGATGATGGAAAACAAAGAGATTAGAAAGAGGAATAAGCAATGGAGAAGAATCATCTGTATGGAAACTAAGGAAGGTCATGATTCTAGAAAAGGGAAGGAACCCTAATCAACAGGTGCAGTTTTGCCACTAGTGATATCCAAAGACTTAATTTCAGTGCCCCTCCCTGTGAAATGCTCTTATGGGGCACCTGGGTGGCTCAGTCAGTTAAGCGTCCGACTTCGGCTCAGGTCATGGTCTCATGGTTCCTGTGTTTGAGCCCCACATCAGGCTTTGTGCTGACAGCTCAGAGCCTGGAGCCTGCTTCCAGTTCTGTGTCTCCCTCTCTCTCTGCCTCTCCTCTGTTCATACTCTGTCTCTTTCTCAAGAATAAACATTAAAAAAAAAAAAGCTCTTATGAATCTTTTGCTCTTACCTCCACCCAGAGGATTATGAACTAAGCTTTAAGATCCATTCATATGGGGGCGCCTAGGTGGCTCAGTTGGTTAAGTGTACGACTCTTGGTTTCCACTTGGGTTATGATCTCATGGTTCATGGGTTCAGTCCCCACGTTGGGCTTTGTGCTGACAGCATGGAGCCTGCTTGGGATTCTCTGTCTCCCTCTCTCTCTGCCACCTTCTCTGCTTGCTCACTCTCTCTCTAATAATTTTTTTTAAAAAAGGTCCATTTATATGGATTAAAATATTAAAATGTTTTTTGTTTCCAATTTTCTAATATGTTTTGTACTATACCATTTCTCAAACACTACCCTCTCCTTAATTTGGTTTGTTCCTATCAGTACTTGAGACAGGCAAAAGAAAAATAAATCTAGCAAGAACTACCAATATGTGTTGATTTTATGGCATATCCCAACATATTTTCTTTTCTTAAGGAAACAAAATATCGTTTAGTGTTAGAATTTAGTCGTAAACTTTGGAACCATGATGTGTGATGTTTTATTATATTTATGACTCCACATATGTTGTTACTATTTCATGCAAAAATAATAACATAACTTATTAAGCAAAAATTAGGAGAAAAATACTGATGAAATACTTACCTTGTATGCAGTGTTTGTAAATTTCTGTGAATGGTTAAAATATTATCTAATGGTAGTATTTATAATTGTTAAAGAGAATAAACAGACTAAGTTGTGAAATAGTATTCTCTGAGCCAGGAACTGCAATTTAGGAAGAGTGTCAGGGTGAGTCTTGATTCATTTGTTGGGTTTATGGTTTTCAGGGAATTAATGCTGATTTCACATCAGAAAAGCATGGAGCAGCTGCAGGAAACCCTTAGACAGAAGCTGCTGAATGATGACAACTGGAGAGAGAAGGTAACAATAATGTAACTTTCATCAGCATGTGTCTTATTTGCTTTTTCAAAATTCTGTTTGCCAGGAGACTATTCCGGATATCTTTGCTTCTATGCACATTTTGATTCCTTCTGGAATTTCCTAGGCCAAACATACTTATAATGTGTGTCTTTTCCATAATACTAGACAACATAATAGGAAATAAAAAGGTAAGAACAGAATTTTAAAACTTGTAAAATTAAGATGGCCCCTAGTTCTCATGTAAAAGTTTAATTTTTATTTTCAAATATTTTACCTTTTTCCTGTAAGGTGACAGAATCTGCCTTTGACCACATCCTTAAAAGCAGGGGAATATTAATTCATTCTTGTAATTTCTCTGCTTTTAAGAAGATAATGTAAGAGAATGGAAAATGACAAGATTACTCAGTTATGAACTTTTGGCAAAGTAAAAGGAAAGTATTTAGCTCACTCTTTATAAGGAAAATATTTTCTCTTAGAGGATTGAAAAATGCATTGATTTTTGGCTTTGGACTTCTCTAAATTTTTCAAAGTTTCAGTAATAAATATGTATTACTTTAATAATTTTAAGGAATTCAAATAATATTCTAAAAATTGTTGGTCTCTATCTTCTCAGGCCATGTACAACTCTAGTCATTGAGACTATAACCATGATCTCCCTGTCATAAACTTCTGATACTCCTTGATTGATCCCTGGACCTTATCCTGAACAATGTCCTGAAGGCTTTCCAACTCTTTCTCTTGCCCAACTGATACCTATCCCTAGCACTAGCCTTCATCCTTGGTTTTTTGATACCATTATAAATTTGCATCTAGTACTAGAGCTAGCTACTGAAATTCAGATTGCTTGACTTAAGCCCCGACAACCTGTTTGGTTATATCAGATTCTTCTCCTTGGTGAACAGACCCTATAACTTGTAACTTCAAGCAATAAGCAGTGACTACATTCAAACTAACATCTCCACCTGGACTCTTCACTCTACCATCCACCAAACTTAGACCCTTTAGATATCATTGCTGGCTCAGATGAGATCTAAATTTTTCACTTTCATTTCCAGTATTTACTCAGTTGGCCATACACAGGCATTACTGGCCCTCTACATATGAATCTCACTTCCCTTGTCCCTCAGGGATAGCACACTCAGGCTGTAAGAGAAATGATCACTAGAACAACAGCTCCATAGAGGCAACAATTAAAACTTAAGAATGGACTAATGGTTGCTCTAAGTGGCTCATTCTTATTTTGAAGTATGGGCTTTTTCTTTTCCATCTCCTAAAGCCCACATTTTTTGAATTTTTATTAGTCTTGGGGTACTCAATTGGCTATTCTTAGTCACTTCCTCTATCCTTACCAACCCATGTTTAAAAATACAAAAAAGATGATCAACCTAACCAGCAATCCAAAAAAGGCAAATTAAAACAATGAGAGATTTTTTTTTTACCCATCCAGTTGACAGAGTGGTTTTGGCATTGTGGCAAAGTCTAGTAAGGTAATCTTTCATACTCACTGTTCAACGGGCTGAAAGTTACAGCAACCCTTTGGGAGCAATTTGGCATTATGTATGAAGAGATATTGTAAACATCTCATCTTTTGATGCAGAACTTTCACTGACGGAATTAGTGTGAATAGAGATTCACAGATTCTTCCCTTCCCTCAAATGCCTGAGCTCCTCTTAGACCGATAGAGTGAACCTTCCAGCCTTTGCTTGTATAGAAGTTCTTTTTATCTCCTTGGTCACACCCCTGAAGGACTTTCAAATACAATATACTGTAGAAGTCTCTGCATTTATGATCTCTTCTTATACTGCTTCTTACTGTACCCTGTCCAGGAGGTGCTAACACAAGTAGACCAAGTTAGTGTTAGCATCTGATCATATAAAAAAGTATTATGATCTTGCTTCATGCTGTTAATTTGATGATGCAAATAAACCTATGTAAGATTTTCTAAGTTCCTACTGAGACCATGATATCATTCTCATAAATTAATTGTATCATAGACATATTTTGGCATGTATAATTTTCTATGATATAAATGGGCATTTCATTTTGTTGAGAGGACATGACTTCTTATTAATAAATCTTATAATTTAGCTTGGCAGTAAATCCAGATCCAGACCAGTAAAGCCAAGGAATGATAATTAGGTCTTGGCTGTGTTAGTTATTGAGACTATGAATAAAAAGTTCCCTAAAAGTCCTCTCATGAGAAAGGAGAATCACTACTATGACACTGTCATCTCTTTCTTGGGTCACTGTGCCTTTGTGTAGGAATGAAATGTTCCCTTTACAAATATATAATACACATATTAGAATAAACTTCATAACTTAAGTGCTTTTGGCATTCAAAAAGAGTAGATAGCAATTTGTGCCTCTGCTTAATTATTTTTGAGTATGTAAAAAGCACATAATAGAATCAATAGTTGCTATGCAACAAAGATGGCACATTTTAAAATAACTGTATATTTACCAATTGCCATAGATTTTTGTTTATTTCAAGTATTCTTTGATGTGAAGAAAATAAATTATTGTGTATGGTGAACATTTAAAATTGGTTCCAAGTTAACAGTGTTGTTACGTTTCAGTTAAAACTTTTGTAATTAAGAAATTTCCTATAGCCAGAGTGCTGACATTAAGTGATAGTCATGTATTGACTATTACTTTGTAGTGCAATAAACAAATTCCAACCAAATATTTTCTTAGATTATTACTAAGATATCATCACATTTAGGAACATTTTAGAATTGTATTACCATTGACCTCATTTTAAATAGTACATAAAGCATTTAAAACCCAATATTTTATGACAAGTTCATCCCTGTACATTTTGTTATTTTATAAGCTATCCTTTTAAATTTCATTCGTAGTACTCTAAAACACATTAGGAATTATTCAGCCATTTGGCTCGTCTATTTTGAAGAAGAACTTGATATAACCCAATAGTTAAAACAAACAAACAAACAAACAAACAGAACCTTACCTCCTGGCTGAGCAACTGGATTAATAGTGAAAACCCAAGGGAGGAGGGTAGTTTACCTCAAGAAGTAGGCAATTCCAGCATCAAAGGAGGCAAACCAAAAAAATATCAGGTTCTTCAAATAGAAGAGCCAAATGGCTGAATAATTCCTAATGTGTTTTTGTGTACTATTAATGAAATTTAAAAGGATCGCTTATAAAATAACAAAATGTACAGGGATGAACTTGTCATAAAAATATCAGTTTTCATTTATGCGTTATAAATATATGACTAAAAACAATAGTGAGAGCACACTTTAATTTTTAAAATTATAGCGTGTAATTTTCAAAATTGAATTAATGAAATCATAAAATTTTAGATCTGGAATAGCCTGCAAATATCATATGACTTAAACCTTTAATCAGGATAATAAAAATAGTCTCCATTAATTAGAGTGTTTACTATATGCTAGGCCTGGTGCTCAATGCTTTCCATAAATGTAATTTTAATTATTATAAAATTATTATTCCCATTTGCACATGGAAAAAAATAAGGCTCAGAGAATTTATGTAAGTTGCCAAGGTTATATAGCCAGGAAATGAGAACCGATACAAACCTGGGCAGGGTGGGGGATGAGAGCTAAATAGAAAATGCAAAAACTTCTGCATTTGACCTATGTGAACTAGCAGGAACCAGATTTACCCTCCCTCCTAAACAAGTAAACCATTGGGAAAAAGATAGAAAACAATGGTTTGAAGACACTAGATATCAAACAATGATTCTTATAGATGAGAGACAAATGAGGTGAATTCTGTGATTGCCCAGACTTCGTTCCTTGAAAGAAACTTAAGGCCACAATACAGGAAGTGTGAATCTAGGTAGTTTGGCAGATTCTTCGAGTTGAGGAGACCTGAGAGATCAAGGTGGCTAGAATTCACAGGGTAGTGTTCTCAGGGGAAAGCTGCACACAGAAATAATGCTGGAGATCTACGAAGAGTTCCCATAAAGTATATCCATGGTTAATGCATATGTGTGGGGAAACTACTCAAAGGCAGAGAAAGACCCATGAAAAGACTAAAGGGGAGTACCATATGCTCACACATGGCCAGACTGGGAAACTTATAATTTATAGGGCACTGGGTAAAGTTCTCAGAAGAGTTTTGCATCAGCAGTAAGGAAAAATTAGCCCTAGACTAAATGCTGAGCTGATCCTGCCTAACAATTTTCAAAGGAAGAACTAAAAAACTCACGGTGATTCCAATAAACTTAACTGCATCCCACAACAGAGTTCAACAATATTCATAGGAATACAGAAATATTCAGCATCTAATGAGGTAAAATTTACAATGCCTGGCATTCAATCAAAAGTTGCCATTAAAAACAAAACAAAACAAACAAACAAAACAGGAAAACTCATAATGAGAGTAACTCATAATGAGAGAAAAATCAATTAATAAAAACTGACTTAGAAAGGCACAGGTATGAGAATTAGCAGACAAAGACATTAAAACAGTTATGATAACAGGATTCCATTTGTCCAAAATCTGGGGGAAAAATTGATCATGTTAAGTAGAGATATGGGAGATATAAAAAAGATCTAAAATGAACTTCTAGAGATGAAAAGAACAATATCTAAGATGAAAAGTACACTAGATGGGATTAATATCAGATTAGACCTTTCAAAAGAAAAGTTTGGTGAAATTGAACACACAGCAATTGAAACAAAAATCGAAAACTCAAAACAAACAAACAAGAACATCAGGGAGCTATGAGACAAATTTAAATGGACTAATATATGCATATTTGGAATCCCCAAAGGACAAGAAAGAGAAGAAAGGACAGAAAAAATATTTAAAGAAATAATGGCTGAAAAATTTAAGAGTTAATGAAAACTATAAACCCACACATGCAAGAAGCTCAACAAACCTCAAGCACACCAAGGAACATTACAATCTAATTGCTCAAAATAGTGATAAAAAGAAAATCTTAAAAACAACCAGAGAATAATAGACATATTATATAGAGAGGAACAAAGGTGAGGATGACAACAGTT